CCCCACGCTGACAATTTCTTAATGCTAACACCTTTGGAATCTAATTATTGATCAAAATTGGTCTATTAAAACCAAAGCAAGGCTTTATTAAGTTAATAATTCATACTGGGAAAGACTTCAGGTGTTCTGTGAGATGAGAATCCTCTCTTCAACTCCTTGTGCAAAGGAACCTCCCTCAGGAGATGGAAGAAATTTAGCTCCTGCCATAGGTTCTGTTGGCTTCACTGAGGGGAAAAAAAAAATACATACCCCAGTTGTCATGTAAACCAAAGAATTATTAGTACAGGTTGCCAAACTCATCCTTACATACTGAATGATAAAGTATTACCACTTAAAAGAAGGGAAAAACCCCATGAAAGCTTGACTTTGAAGGCTCAGCAGAGCACTCAAATCATGCAAGTGTCTGTGCAAAAGCCAAAATAAGCTACAGCAGTTCAGCCAGAAATCTGCAATTCCAGGGTCATTACTGCCACGCCAAGATTATAACAGCTTCTTAATGTTACTGGATCAGAAACCCAACCTTACATCTTTCCAGATGACACTCTTCCCATTTCTCTGCGTTACAGAAAGCCTTTGCTTCAAACATTTTTTCAGCTGCTGATTAAAGCCTCTGAGCTGAGTCACTGCAGGGACTCACATGCCTAAATCAGGACTTGCGCTGCTGAGTCAGACCGAAGTGACAGAGCAGAGAAACAGTTACACTGACAGATCTGACAAGGCCTTTTTTAAGCCAAAACACCCTTTCACAAAGGTAATCTTCGTAAGCTATCTATTACAGTTCTGTTGCTGGGCATAAGACACGTACCTAAGGCAAAGCCAGGCCAGCCGGGAAGGCTGACAGCTGCGTGTTTGGAGTGGAGAAGGGTAGTAGAATTATGCAAGTGTAAACGGATACACTTGATGAACTCTATCAGCACTGATCTGCCAATTAGTGCCCACTAGGTACATTTCAAAGCTTCCCAGCTCTGAGCCACATGACCTCCAAAGGCCCCTTCCAACCCAAGTTCTCCCTGTGACAGTATAACCTTGGCCAGTTACAATTAAACCCTCCCTAAATTTGATGAGCGGCAGCAAAAACACACTCAGTGAACTAAGTCTCATTTGACGAGCTTTACTGACGATATTCTTTGTGTTTCTCCTACCCAGCAGAAAGTTTCTCCATTTCATACACTTACCTGAAAACCCCGAGGAACCTCCCATCTCCTCCCGCCTCCCCAGTTACGGGCTCTGAGCTACGTACACGTTCCTACAGCATCACACTCCTGCTGCAAGAAAAAGATCTCCCAGCAGCACCGGGAACGGTTATTGCTCTTTGCTGCCCTTGGTCTCCTCCTGTCCTCTCAGGCTGGCCAAGTTGCAGGGAGATAAACCCCAGTCACATAAGTCACTGCCCTGCTCCGGGGTGCCAGGAGGTTCAGACACTGAGGGGGAAACACAGGACTCGTCCCCAAGTCACCAGGACAGCAAGCTTGGGAGGTGTCTTTCCCTGAGGGTCCGTGTTCAACAGAATGCCTAGGAGTTCAACACTGTGCCCTCCGGGAGGGGAAAACAGTTGAAGTAAACTGATTTAGTAGTAGTAGACAACAGAGCAGTTTGGATCACACAAAGAAAATGAACTTTACCTTGAGAAGAACAAGCCAGCAGTGCTACATGAGAGGTTTAACATTCTAGTCATCTCCCCCGACAATGTTAAAAACTACATGTGACATCCAAGCTATCTCCAACTACAGTTACTGAGGCATTTCTTTAAAAAAAAAAAAAAAATCAAAATATTTGTGATATTTTTTGATCTGGGGAGGAGAGGCCTGTAAGAATATGCCAATCCTCTTCTGAGGCTGCACACCCGAGTCAAAAGAGGGCAGTGGATGTTACTACACGGCATTGCTTCATGGTCCCGCATTTCTCCATAAGGCTTAATAGTTATCATTTGTAAAAAAAAAAATTGTTATTTCTGTAGTCAGCTACTCAATACAGCTCACAAGAACACGCTGACAGTGAACCCTGGAAACTCTATTCAGCATTTACGTACGGCATGTCAGTTTGGAACAGTTTCTCCTTGCTATCACCTACTTACAACTGAAAAGAAAATCTCTGGCCGTTTCTACCTTCATCCTCTTGCTAGCTCTTACTTTGTCAAACCACCACCAAAGCTGCTGCTTTAAGTGATCAAAGAGACCACTGAAGGCAGAGACAACAAAACAGTGTTAGACATTTCCGAAGTGTTTCGAAATCTGAAGTCTCTCTCTTTACCTAGCCAAGTATATCGCCATTAACTGACCGTTTCCTTGAAAATGTAGAAAGTGCTTATGTGAATTTTGTTCCTTCTCTCTCCCATTTGTGAAGGAGCTCCTTAACTTTGAGAACAGAAACAAAAATTCTTCCAAAACGTCATGCATTTTACAGCACTCTGTAGATGTGCCTTCAGTCAATTCTGAAAAGCTTAAGCACTCACAACACAGCATAAAGGCTCCCCCTGACAGAAGCTACAGGCAGGGACCTATTAACGTCTCTAGAAGATTCTCTTCTAGAACGAGCGTGTCCAGGACAACTTTATGATTTCAGCCGAAATCATCACAAGAGAAGCCTAAATAATCTGTACTTAAATACAAATTAAATGAAGCTGGTTATAATAAAACACACAGTAGTTGAATTACATGTACACACTGTATAAAAACAGCTCTGAAATGCTACCAGAAATTAGCCAAGAACAGATTCTTATACTGAACATGTCACTTTTGCAGTGAATAAAAGAAAATATCACTTCATTTGCTCAGAGAACAACAGAGGGAAAAAGAAGCTAAACAGCTGCACTTACAGGAGAACAACAACTACATAAGAAGCCCTGTCTAATTAAGCAGCAACACAAGGCTTTTCCTCAACAGCCCGGGAATTACCCCAGCTGCTGATAAACCCTGGAAAAGCAGCCAAATTCTGTCCTCCTGTCACTGGGCAGGTCTGTACTGCACGTTTGTGCTGCTGCGCCTATGTTCTCATGCAGGTTATTTGAGTGTTTACTACAAAAAAAAAAAGCACACACGCAGAGCCAGTTCTCTTTCAGAGCCGTCTTAAACCCAGGCTGCCGCCGTGCCCCGGCCGGGCGCTCCGCGGGCAGGACATGCTGTGCTAGTCAAACACTTATCCACGCAGCTATTCGGCTGTCTGGGGCAGCAGCCACCATTGGCTCGTTCCCTTCTGGTTTAGCTACCAAGAGCCAGCGATGCGACATCACTACTGGAATGTGCAACAGCTTCGCTGATGGTGCTGGCTGTGGAGGGGGAAGGGAAAAGCAAAAATTCTCTTTGGGAAGAATTAACAGTCCTACAGCATACTTGTCCTTCACTAGGGTCGGCCTAAGGTTAGGATTCCTTTTAGGCTATCCATGCCCTGATGTAAGAACCACCCGCTTATTCCTCAATCCAGCTCTCAAGATGCGTTAATTTCCATTCTACCTCCTCCTGGTCTTTTCATCCCCTCCCAAAAATCTGAGGTTTGGCGGCGTCAAGTCCTCTTCAACCTGATTTACGTATTCTGAAACATTCCCATTTCCTTAAGAGTGGACTGATCGAGTACAATAGTCTGTCACCTGAGGTCAGAGAGTCCTTTGTAATAGTTCTTAAAACACAGATTAAACTCTTCAACTTGACCCACAAGAATTACAGGAGGTTAAAAACAACCAGAAATAGTCAGAGACCATTACAGAGGGCTACAAAATTCCAAACAAGCTCATCCTTCCCAACATGTGCTTTGCTCCAGAAACAACAGTACTGTCTGATTTGCTAAGCAAATTTGAGTTTATCTGAAACTCGCTAGCACAATAGCTTAAAGCTGAAAGGCTGAAGGAATTAGTACTTTCACTACTACACTATTTTAATGATCGAGCTCCCCTATACAAAGTTCATGTTTGCTGTCCTGAACACAAGCAAACAAAGCAAAATAGCCAGATCACTAGTTAAATTCTCGAGCCACAAAAGTTTTATTAAGAATCGAGCATTACATACTGGCCCACAGGCTAAAGAGCACTATAAAGGCATTTAAACATGTCATTTACATAGCAAATGAAGAACAAACTGATGAGCATTTCTAACAACACAGGCGAGACCAAGATCCCAACTGCTTACAAATACTACAGCACCCTCAACCTGCACCACACAAGAAGGGGTAACAGTGCTATGCTGCCACCATTTCATCCTATTAACCTAAAAAAAAAAAAAAAAAAAAAAAAAAAAAAAAAAAAAAAGAGAAAGTAGTCTTAAGTTTGTTTAAAAAGTTAAGAAAAAGTTAGATGAGGATAATTCAAATGAGGGGAGCATTAAATTCTCACTGTCAGAAAAATGCCTGCTTCAAACTCCAAGACGAAATGGGGAGGCAGTGGTGGGGAAGGATGGGAAGCTCCTTTGCATGAACGTTCCCCGCTCCAGATAACACAGACAGTTTTCAGACATTCACCAACAGGCCCGAGGACATTTTTCTACTCAAAGTTGCCAGTCAAGATTTCACATCTCCAACTATAAATCAAGTTTTAAAAGCTGTTCTGGACTGGGAGGTGCTGCAGCCATTGCATACACAAGACTTGTGGCCACTAACTTTTGCTGGAACATCACAGGAGGGGTTTGAAGACTGCAGGAGAGTTTTTTGATGAGCTCATTTTGATCAAGCAGCATCCTACCCCACAGGGCATTTTTAAGACTTCTGAAGGCAAGTCTGGTTAAAAGACAATATTGCAGGTGACTTAATTGATGGGACTTAATCCTTACTTCCCAGAGAATCCTTACTCTGTTTTATAGAGAATATGCTACAGGCTTTCCCATTCGCCTCATCCGTTCAAACCCTGTCTTACTACTTGAAGCCTCAGGAAGAAGACATCTCTCCTCCCTGAGTAGGGAGCTTCAACTTCAGGCTACATCAAAACTGACAAAAAAAAAGTCTGCTGTTATTGGAGTACCCTCTGAAGGATAATACCCAGTTATGATTTATTCACAGCTAACAGAGCTATCACCTACCTCTCTGAACCTTTAAGTATATTTAGTTGTATTCTCATAAAGGTGCAGACAAACTCCTCCAGACTCCCCTTTCCCGCACAGTGTCAGGAAACACGTTTGCTTATATCGTCCACGGCAACACGCTGCCCAGGGATCACCTCGGTAAGTTTATGTTGACACTAGAGCTGAAGTTTTATTTTAAGAAACCTACAAGAGCCAAGGCCCTGCTGGGTTATTAGAACAGCGAACAGTTGAGCTAGGTCCTAAACTCTTACAAACTTCAGAATTTAAACGAGCCCAGGATCAGAGATGTGACAGTATGCCCCAGACGCTTTGATGCCGCTTCAATCGCCGCAGAGCCCTTCCACCGCCGCTGCCTCTGCAGGCTTTTACCTCGGTGCCTGCAGCAGAAAGAGCCCCCGAAACCACCCCAGAACCCGACTACCACAGCCCTAAGTAACCCCGCCGCTGCCCTTACCCGCCCCAGCGCGGCCCAGGGACCGCGCTCTCCATC